ACATTCAATTTCGTGTGTTTACATTGCCAAACACCGCAAAAATTTGTTAATATGGATATATTTTACGTAGAGTATTGCGAACTTGCGACCTATTTATCTGTGAATCTATACTGAAGGCAACGTCATTTTAACTGCAAGAAAGTGTAGCTCCTTAGCGGCAACAAATATTAGCGTTTATATTTGATCAAAATTGAAATTGTGTAGTTAATTTATGTAGGATCCTAGAATTGTTTCCAAAAGAGAAAGCGGAATCCTTGAGTCGAAGCATCGACGACTCGAGCTAAAGGCGTCGCATCGCGACCACCTAGGTGATGTAGGGTATGAATGAGAGGGAGATAAGAATGAAAGTGCGAATGGATGGAAAACAGATATGAATGTTGTACCGGACTTTCCTTACGGATAAAGGAAAACGGGCAGTGTGGACCTAGCAAGCGAACCATAAAGAAGTATCACCGTATTCCGCTGTATCATATTATTTTTATCTTTTTATTAAACTTTGTTTTATCCGTAAGCATCTGTGCTCATTATATCACGGCAACATTCACAACTCCACTTTAATTGATTTCACATTTATATTCGACGTCAACGAACTTACTTCTTCCTGTAAATGTTTGAAAAGCAGATTTGCGATGGGCTCTTATTTTATAAGAACGTGAAAGAATGATAGTATAATTATAAACGAGATGTAAAATGCATGTTTCATTTCACGGGAGATGGTGCTACGCGAATTGCAATAACGATCTCATAAATCGAAGAATACATGTCTTCAAATTAGTCAACACTTGATTATGTAGTCTACTAATTTCACTTTGGTATTGATTAATGCCGTGTGTTATCATAACGACGCCTTCCAAAAATTGACTAATATGGATATATTTTACGCAAAGTATTGCTAAATTTCAGCCCTTTTACTTTTGACTATGTACTATAGACGACGTCAACGTAATTACGAGAAACTGTAGCCACCTAGTGGCCAAGAACGTATTTACTCCAAGCGATTGATATACCAGAGAAAATGTTTTTATAATTAAATAATGCCAATAATAAATACCTACAGTGACCCAATTAAATTTGTAATGCACAAGTTTCTATTAATCTATTATTGTTTAATAAATTACGGATGGCCGTTTATAAATTACCAAACAGGTTGGCAGCACAAAAATCATACGAATACGATTTTATTTTCTGTTGCTACAGACATGCCACGCATAAATGATACAAACATAATACGAAGAATTGTTTCTCATTTATTTCTCACGCGAATTATGTTAAACTTTTAACATTTTCATTCGATTGACTGTGAAGTTGTGTAGTTAACTTATGATTTATGTTAAGGAACTTATTCTATTCTGTAAATATTTAAGAAGCAGACGTGTGACGTCTTTTATGCATTAAGAAAGTAAAAATATAATGACACATGAAATATACATTTTACTTTATGAGTGGTGATGTTAAGCTAATTGTAAATACCGACATCATAAGTTATCAACCAACGGTCTTATGGGTATTTACTTCCAAATTAAAGTGAAAATAATTTATATTTAAAGAGAGATTAATTACTAACTAGATGTAGATTCATATTTATATCACAAAGAAAGCTGCGCACTGTATAGCTTCGTACAAAAATTTAATATGGATATAGATATTAGAGTATTGCAAAATTAATACCTACAAGTGCAGATATATAATTTCCTCTACCAAAATTCTTTTGCGAGAAAACGTATATCCCTACAGCCCTCTAGCGTACAGTTTGTGAAGCTATAGACAACCTTATAATATTTATTAAAATCAATATCGCTATAGTAAATATTATTATACGTCTTAAATTTGTATATTATTAACTAATTGTTATCACTGTAATTAAAAACAATATTACGAATATTTCATAAAAATAATGCATTTGAAAACAATTTTACTAATTTTTATGGTAGGAATTATATTGTTCAAATAGCATTATACATTTTATATTTTTATTACACATTTTTACAAAGTCATCATCAACACTGAAATATCATTCATCTTACAAACGGTAATTACATTTTATTATATTAATATATTTTGTATTTAACGCGACTATTATTTCCTATATTATAGATAATCGGAATAATATGATTTATTTTTGTTACTGTCTAATTTATTTATTTTAAATATTTTTAAATTTACGATACATTTTTTTAATGAATCTAATGTTTTTAAATGCATGGTACGATCTTTAGTAAACTACAACATTTATATGCTGTTGTTTCTTTTCTTATAAGTAACACTCCAATTAATTTGAAGTCAAATAATATGAACAGTGATTAAAACACTGAAGATACTCAATATTCGATTTCGAAATTGTATATATCCATATACATACATAGTTTACAGAATATATTACCTTTATCCTTATTATATATTTATTCTATAGCACATTCGTCAATAGTATTTTAAGTTCTTCTGAATACAAAAACTTGACACAAAGTACAAAATGTGTAGTTATAAATTAAGTTCTTAGTACAATTCTTTATCTGAATATTATATATTTCCTAGGTTTATTACACTTTTAAGTTGAAAACAGCTATAAAGTTTTGTAATAAGCATACAAATAAAAAAATTTTAAACAATCATTATTTTAATAACCATTGATGTATGATGTATATTACATATTTTTTAGTAATTGACATCTTCACAAAATTTAATGAAAGAAAGTTAATCATTTTATAAATTCTCTACCTATTTATGTTGACCCTAAAATGTCTACATTTGCTGTTGTGTCCTGAACATTACTGTTAGCTATCATATATTCTGAAACTGATATGTATATACCAACTAATAATCCAATTACACTTGCTATGTAAATATTTCGCTGGAAAATAATACATGTTGCAACACATAGACCGAAATATGTAGCATATCGTGCAGTATTCTCTTGATGTTTGCGCCCCAGGATATCAGAATCTAGTATAAAGAAACTCATACTATACTAAACATATATCATTATTAATCATGTATTAAATTGAGTATGTCATTAATAAATGATGTAACTTACTTATACATAGATTATCCTTTTTATGATATCCTTCAGCACATTTTATACACATATCTGGACCATCTCCTGTACAACCACTACAGGCTTTGTCGCAACCTAAGTTAAATAAAAGAATTAGTACCTAGATTATATTTGGCATTTATTTCTTATGACTTACTTAAGCATGAATAACCTCCTTCCTTATTAATACAAAACTGATTGCCAGGACAATATTTATCATTTGTTATACATTCATCAATGTCAAAGCAACCTTCTTCATCTAACATATACCACCCTTTCATACATTTTTCACAATTCTTAGGCCCTGCTCCTTTACAAGGACCATCACAGGCAGCATGACACCGAGAACAGAGTAATTTATTCTCATCTTTATAGGATTCATAAAATCCATTTGCACAATGTGAACAATTATCTCCTTCATAGCCTTTATCACACATACATCCACCATTTCCTTTTCTAGTGCCTGCTCCTTTACATTTACCATTATTGTTACAAATTTTATTTGGAAAACCTGGACATGGTGTACACTTAGGACCAAAATGATCTTTTGGACAACAGCTTTCTGTTTGTTCTATACATATATAATCATGTATATCTGGATGCGATTGCTGATGGTTAAACCACCAATCCTCTATTTTGCTTTCTAATTCTTCAGCTAAAGCGTGACACTGAGTTTCACCACGCTCTACCTCTTTACACAAATGTTCTTGTATCTCTATCAATCTAGTTTCACTCTTTGAATATGAACCTAACTTATCCTCCTCCCAAGCACTATCACCACCATCAAATTTCTCACGACTGGTTCTTTCAATGCCCTGTATGATAACAAAAATGTTATTTGTAAATTGTGAAGTAAAGATGTAGAGAAAATAGAATCATGCAACAAGTATGTTTATAGAAGAGTTATTTTTATATCTGGCATATTTCTAATTAGTAATCTTTTTTGCAATGTAGACACATACAAGAATAATGCAATAACATATTTAAAGTTACATTTCAAATTCAACTTACCTTTTTAAAACTATTTATTAAGACCCTACAAGCCGCACACGGAGGAAACTTCTGCGCTTTGAGTTCTTCATTTGACGGTGTTTTATCACAATTTACATAAGCAGATGTACAAAGTAAAATAAATAAACTTAACAATCGAAGACAGATGACATCACCGAGTTTTCGCATTATTCCACTCGAATGTACCGGCCAATGTTCGACGTTAGCATTCGCTCAAAAACTGACAGAAAATCCCTTAGCCTGTTTTACGAATATACAGACATTAAAAATCTAAATAATTTACTTCAAAATGTTTCATGAACGTTCATAACCGCTTTAAATATTCCAACTGTATCTAAAGTAAGGAAGAAATTGAACAGACTCTTCTGGATTGATAGCAAAGTACCAGACGACAAAACAAGTGTTTTGTAAAGAGCATGCGCATATCACAACAAGTTAAATACAAGCAAACCAATTCAAGAATGCCACATGGTATTTTACAGAGATAGGCAAAATTCATATCTACGTAGATCAAAATTTCGAATAATAAGTTGAGGTTGAACAGCTGTTCACTCGTTACTCGTTAAATAAAAATTCGACTGTATATTTTAGCGTGAAATATTTCGTATTGAATAACTCACAACAAAATTACTGTCCGTTGGTCTTAATTGTTATCTATTATCAAATTTTGTCCATATATGATACTCTATATAAATACTTTCATAAAGTACTTATTTGAAGTATATTTTCATACAGAAACTTACAAACTAGTTTATCAGTTCAAAAGAATGAAAATGTACTATATTATTGCATGATAAAATGAATATGAGATCGAAACATATATTTTTACGATAAATGTATGATTTATTTAAATAAATAAACACATAAATCTTGGATATTTCTTGTATAAATATATTCTAATAAGTACTGCTTCCAACCTGCACGTGATCATCTATTAAGATTCTGTGTTTCATGGTAGGAATAGTGACGTGTCTTCAGTCGTGTCAAATTTTCAAAGGTTAGGAGTAAGGAATGTGTCTTTAATCACAACGCTTTGTTTGACACTTAATAAACCATGTTGACAAAGTTTGAAACGAAATCCGCTCGCGTAAAAGGGTTATCCTTTCATCCAAAACGTCCATGGGTTTTAGCAAGGTAAATAATATGAATTGTCACCATTCATTAGCCTTCACTTTAAATTCTTAAAATATATTTAAAAATATGCTTCTATTTAAATGCCTATTTTAATTATTTTTATTATGAGTGAAATAATACAATTATTATATGAACAGTTTAATAAAAATTCTAACTTGTATGTTACAGTTTACACAATGGAGTTATACAATTATGGGACTATCGTATGTGTACCCTATTAGATAAATTTGATGAACACGATGGACCTGTTCGTGGAATCTGTTTCCATAATCAACAACCCTTATTTGTATCTGGTGGTGATGATTATAAAATTAAAGTATGGAATTATAAGCAACGCAGATGCATCTTTACTCTGTTAGGTCACTTAGATTATATCAGAACAATCGTATTTCATCAAGAATATCCATGGATTCTAAGTGCATCAGATGATCAGACAATCCGTATATGGAACTGGCAAAGTCGCACTTGTATTTGTGTCTTAACTGGACACAATCACTATGTAATGTGTGCACAATTTCACCCTACTGAAGATATAATAGTATCAGCTTCTTTAGATCAAACTGTTAGAGTATGGGACATATCTGGTTTGAGAAAGAAAAATGTAGCTCCTGGCCCAGGAGGCTTGGAAGATCATTTAAAAAATCCTGGTGCAACTGATTTATTTGGCCAGGCAGATGCTGTTGTAAAGCATGTTCTTGAAGGACATGACCGGGGTGTTAATTGGGCATGTTTTCATCCCACATTACCTTTGATTGTTTCTGGAGCAGATGATAGACAGATTAAAATGTGGAGGATGAATGATGCCAAAGCATGGGAGGTGGATACTTGTCGTGGGCATTATAACAATGTCTCTTGCGTGTTGTTCCACCCTAGGCAAGACCTAATTCTTTCTAATGCAGAAGATAAGAGTATCCGCGTTTGGGATATGACGAAACGCACGTGTTTACACACATTCAGAAGAGAGCATGAAAGATTTTGGGTCCTTGCTGCACATCCTACTTTAAATCTCTTTGCTGCTGGACATGATTCTGGAATGATTATTTTCAAACTCGAGAGAGAGCGTCCAGCATATTCTGTATACGGAAACGTCCTCTATTACGTGAAAGAACGTTTTCTTAGAAAATTAGATTTCACTACTTCTAAAGACACGTCTGTTATGCAAATACGTGGAGGTGGAAAGACACCTCCCTACAGTATGTCATACAACCAAGCTGAAAACGCTGTTTTAATCTGTACAAGATCGCCCAACAATATCGAAAACAGTACTTACGATTTATACATGATACCGCGCGAGGGTGACTCGAATACTGATGCTGATACAAAACGCGCTTCTGGTGTCACTGCCATTTGGGTTGCTAGAAATCGTTTTGCAGTATTAGACAGAGCATATTCGGTAAGTATTTAGACAAAGGTGAATTTAAATGATCAAAGATAATGAATTATAATCGATTAATTATTTTTTACAGTTGGTTATCAAGAATCTGAAAAATGAAATAACAAAGAAGGTGCAAATTCCGAATTGCGATGAAATATTTTATGCTGGCACGGGAATGCTTCTTTTACGCGATGCTGATCAAGTAACGCTCTTTGACGTTCAGCAGAAGAGAACTTTAGCGGAAGTAAAAATTTCTAAATGTAGATACGTCGTTTGGTCTAGCGATATGTCTCATGTTGCTTTACTCGCGAAGCATACTGTTAATATTTGCAATCGACGATTGGAGTCCCTTTGCTCTGTACATGAAAATACTAGAGTGAAATCAGGAGCGTGGGATGATTCTGGAGTATTTATCTACACTACCAGCAATCACATTAAATACGCGATTAACAACGGTGATCACGGCATCATCCGCACGTTAGATTTACCAATATACGTAACCAGAGTAAAAGGCAATCAAGTTTATTGCCTGGACAGAGAATGCAGACCAAGAATTCTTCGAATAGATCCAACTGAATATAAATTCAAACTAGCATTGATTAATAGAAAATACGAAGAGGTTTTACACATGGTTCGCAATGCAAACCTCGTTGGTCAATCTATAATTGCATATCTACAACAGAAAGGATATCCTGAAGTTGCTTTGCACTTCGTTAAAGATGAAAAAACCAGATTCGGCCTTGCACTTGAATGCGGGAACATTGAAGTAGCTCTAGAAGCCGCGAAATCCCTTGATCAGAAACCTTGTTGGGAGAGTTTGGCTCAAGCAGCTTTACTGCAAGGTAATCATCAAGTTGTGGAAATGTGCTATCAGAGAACTAAGAATTTCGAAAAGTTATCGTTCCTGTATCTAATAACTGGTAACTTAGAAAAGTTACGTAAAATGATTAAGATTGCCGAAATCAGGAAAGACGTTTCTGGACAGTACCAGGGTAGTTTGTTACTCGGTGATATTTATGAGCGTGCGAAAATCTTACGGGTGTGTATTTTACAACTTTTACTTCATATTTAATTTTTAATTAAATTTAATGTCTATTTCATCTTCTTGTATTACAGAATTCATGGCAAGCATCTCTAGCTTACGTCACCGAGAAAATTCATGGTATTTCACTCGCCAAAGATGATATCGAATACAGCTACATGAGAGAAGAACTTTCCGCTCTCGAAAAAGGAGCAGTGTACCTTCAACCTCCAGTTCCTATCCAACAAGCTGAAAATAACTGGCCACTGTTAACAGTTTCGAAAGGCTTCTTCGAGGGTGCAATGTTATCACGCGGAAAGAGTCAAGTAGCTGCTGCTTTAGCTCCAGAAGAAGATGGTACTGTAGCCGCCGAAGGATGGGGCAATGACGATGAATTAGGATTAGACGATGAGGAAGGTGGCGATACCGAGCAGCCTCCAGAAGGAGAAGAAAGTGCTGGATGGGACGTTGAAGAAGTGGATCTACCGCCAGAACTAGAAACTACAGTGACTGCAGTGGAAGATGGCTACTATACGCCACCAACCAAAGGGGTACCACCGACGCAACATTGGGTGAATAATTCCCAGTTGGTCGTGGATCATATATTAGCTGGATCATTTGAAACTGCGTTTAGGTTATTGAACGATCAAATTGGCGTGGTTGAATTTGGAGCTTTCCAGAATCTTTTTATGAATACTTTCGCTCGCGCTAGAACATCATTCGATACGTTACCGAATATACCCTCGTTATACGCGTATCCTCAACGAAATTGGAAAGATACAAATCCCAAGGGTGGGCTACCAGCAGTTGGATTACACCTTACCGATTTAGTTCAGAGACTTCAAGTATGCTATCACTTGACAACCGGCGGAAAGTTTCCTGAAGCAGTAGAAAAGTTTCAAGCGATTTTACTCAGCGTACCGCTACTAGTCGTCGACACAAGACAAGATATTGCTGAAGCACAGCAACTGATTCAAATTTGTAGAGAGTACATCCTAGGATTAAAGATGGAAACTGAAAGGAAGAATCTTCCTAAAGCCACCCTATCTGAGCAAAAACGAATCTGTGAAATGGCAGCCTACTTTACACACTGCAGTTTGCAACCTGTGCATCAGATACTCACTTTAAGGATAGCTGTGAATATGTTCTTCAAGTTGAAGAACTATAAAACAGCTGCTTCCTTTGCAAGGAGGTTACTTGAATTGGGACCTAAGCCAGAATTAGCACAACAAGTTAGGAAAATTTTGCAGGTATGTATGTTGTACATATTGTTAGCATATGTAAGTGTATCATAACATATTTTATTTATTTTTCGTTTTGTAGGTATGTGATAAAAGCCCAGTAGATGAACATCAATTAGCATATGATGAGCACAATCCGTTCTCATTGTGTGCAAGCACATTTGTTCCAATTTATAGAGGGAAACCAGAAGTTAAATGCCCATTATGCGGGGCAAGTTACTTGCCACAATTTAAAGATACAGTGTGTAAAGTCTGTGAAGTTGCGTTAATTGGCAAAGAATGCATTGGCTTGAGAATAAGCCCTATTCAATTCCGATAATTTTTTAGTATCTGTTTGCAGTAATTTACCTACCAATGATAACGTCATTGTCATCTAAAAAAACTAGACACAGCAATGCATTATATGCTAATACAGTATCTCGATTCTACTAATTTGTTAATTACGTTAAATGTAAAAGGTATTATGTCATTCCAGAAAAGTATTGTAAATATCATAAAACATAAACATGTTAATCCGAATCTTAAAAATGTCTCCTTCAGTGATTTACCAAGGAAAATAACAAATTTTTGTATTATGCTTGTATTGTTATTATTATTTCATATTGAAACAATGCAAAATATATTTTTAAAATATAGTGGTAAAACAAACTGAACTTTAGCAAAGGTTATGTATCGTTTTAATTAAATTTTGTATACTTTTTCCAGAAATTTCGAATTTGTACGATTTATCGCATGCACATTTAATAAATGTTATTATCAAGTGACTACATAAGGTTTTTCTCATTATCTGTTACACAGGGTCATGGATAGGTATATGGAATTTTGTATGCTATAGCAATTAATTATTCAACAATTTTATACGCGCTATGTTAGTAAAAAGAAATAAATAAATATTTGGACTAAAGTAACGAAATTTAAAATGTTTCAAATGATCATGTACCTCTAGGCATATCCTTGGTCGACGTAGCGAACCAATGGAATTTTAGTCACGTGATAGTCTCGATTTCCATTCAACTTCATCGTCTCATAAAACATATTATTATAAGGGCAAGCACGTAAACGCCCAAACGAAACTATAAAATGGAAGCAGGGCCGAATTAAGACATGGAGACTAGGGTTATAATTTAAGAGCATTCATCAGATAAAGAGCATCCAGAAATAAATAATTTGAGCCTATTTCATGAATTTAAATATTAGCATAAAATTTAATTAGTAAAAGCTTGGTTTCATGAACGAGACAATCTGGTAACAAGACCACGTGATTTGCAACAAAATCTCATTGGTCCACTACGACCTGTCTAGAACATATGTTTTTTTTTATATTACTGTATCTGATACTTCTATATATTTTCTTTAAATTACTTTTCCATTGTAGAACTGTAATTACCATATGAAAATAGGAATTTGTATAATTTCTGTGTTCAAGGTATATTGCCCCGCCACTTCTCCCTGTCGCAAATCAAGTATCTTTTTTTACCATAATCCATTGTCTTACTAAATAAAGCATAATATACTTACAGCTACTACACTATAATACTTGAGAATAGAATTATATTTCAAATATAAAATAATCTAAACAAGCATAAAATAAATTACAAATGAAATTATCTCCAATCTAAATCGACCATTGATAATGCAATAGTTAGATACGTGATGCATAAATATAACGAGTTTCGGTGAAAACTGCGATCGTATTTACGAAGATACAAGTAACAATTGAAGTTTACATGGAAAAATAGGTGTTTCATGGAACAAACTTCCAAAAATCCCTAGAGCAAAATGAGTTGGTAATATATGCGGTTGTTACCGACGCAAGTTGTGGGCAATGGTGGACGAAGATTGCGGAGGCCGCTTGTGCGTGCCGTCAAACTACTGATTGCAATAGTTTTTTTCGGCAAGTACTATAAACGTCTCGCTGTACATTCGCCACTTTTGCTTGGTCTGTCCATACGTTGCGATCCCTGTAATTCGTACAGTGGTTATCAGTGCATAGTGAAATCTTTTATCGCGCCGTTTTTCGTCCGTTTGACGGAAGTTTCAAAAGGGACGTGAGGCTTCTCTTGATTCGTAGCAGCCGCGAGAAATGTCGAGAGATTAAAGCACAGTGAAATACACGATCACGGTCGTTATTTGACTGCAACGATGATTGTGCAACGTGAAAAATATATACACAGCCGGGCCATTGGTGATCGCTGAGCGGGCACACTAGAAGACGTGAGACCAGTGCCGTAAACATCGCGAACGTAAATATACGGTGTGCGTCTCTGTGTACGTGTTGCATTACAGACGCCTCTCTAAATCGCTTAGAATTTTCGTAATTTCAAATTTCCATCGAATAATATTCGTTCCATTTCATATTTTCGCGAACGATCGCTCGAGACTCTGTCGAACAGACGATTCGCGAAATAGTATAGATAAAAGGGAGGTTAGAATCGAAACGTACGATATCGACGGTACTGGGGAACATCGAGAGTAGTAAGTTTTCCGACGAGTGCGAACTTTCGAATTCACTCGAGTTAAGGGGGGGGATAGCAATTGTGAATATCGAAGTTATCAAAGTTCGAAGATAAGGAAGGGCGCGCTATCTTCGGAAACCATCGGGCGTCCTACTGCTCCAGGGGTAACTCGGTGGTGCATAGTCGCGCGGGTATGAAAAAATGATGTGATCGACGGTCATCATGGCGGCACCCATGCTAAAGTGGAAGCGGATCACAAATCCGACCGGGCCCCAGCCAAGACCCAGGCATGGGCATAGGGCAGTTGCTATTAAAGACCTTATGGTCGTTTTCGGCGGTGGAAACGAGGGCATTGTCGACGAGCTTCATGTCTATAACACGGGTAAGTTGCATCGCTGCTGTGCGTCTTTCGTGCGCGCCGTTCTTGATGATTCCCGCGATCCAAGATGGCGGCATACGTTGACAAGACGGTCACCGGCCGGATCACCGTGGAAACACGAATTACGTTCGTGTCAGATGCTTTATCATGATGTATTCCACGTAATTCGAGTATACCCCCGCTGTACGTGTCTTTCTCAGTTTCGTTTAACGAGGATCGTGATAGTTTCATTGGTAGAATTGGCGCGGTCTGTCATTTTTCATGTTTATACGCGCGGGAGCGGCCATTGCTGTTCTATACGCCCCACCACTGATATGCAACGCGCCGCGTTTCCCGTCATTCCACGTTCACGTTTTGCCTTTCCTTCTCTTTTTTCCTTCCGTACCTATTTCTCCTCCCACTCTTTCATTTTGCGTTTTCACATCCCTTCTGTATCATGTATGCGCACGGCATTTCTCTCATTCGCTACGTTACACGGCCACGCGCGTGCGTATCAGGGCGCGCACTTTGTGTTTAATTTTGAAATCTTTTCCGGAATACTGTTATGGTACACGCTACACAGCTTGCTCATCATAAATATAAAGATCTATATTAATAAACTTCTTTATAATAAAACACGACTATTGAGAATTCAAATGATATATAAGCGAATGTTTAATTAAATGTTACTTTTGAATTTTAATCGAAATTTTGTCAATACCTGTCACATACCTTGATATTCTGAAAGTATTCTTTTTAATACAATATTTATGCATTTTTCAGCAACTAATCAATGGTTTGTACCATCAACAAAAGGCGATATTCCACCTGGCTGTGCAGCGTACGGATTTGTCGTCGATGGAACTCGTATTTTAGTCTTTGGTGGTATGGTAGAATATGGAAAATACTCGAATGAGCTCTATGAACTGCAAGCAAGTAGATGGGAATGGAAAAGATTAAAACCAAAGCCACCCAAACATGATCCTCCGCCGTGTCCTCGACTGGGACATAGCTTTACCCTTATCGGTAACAGGGTTTTTCTATTCGGAGGTTTGGCTAACGACAGTGACGATCCCAAGAACAATATACCAAGATATTTAAACGATTTGTATACGCTCGAGTTACTCCCTAACGGAGCAACAGCTTGGGATGTACCGCAAACACATGGACATGCACCACCACCCAGGGAGTCTCATACCGGCGTGGCTTATACCGATCGCAATACAGGAAAATCCTGTTTGGTGATTTATGGCGGTATGAGCGGCTGCCGTTTGGGTGACCTATGGTTTCTCGATGTTGATTCGATGACCTGGAACAAACCAGTGGTTCACGGACCAACTCCGTTACCACGTTCTCTCCACACTGCCACTTTAATTGGTCATCGAATGTATGTCTTCGGTGGATGGGTACCGCTTGTTGTCGATGATGTTAAAGTTGCAACACATGAAAAAGAATGGAAATGTACAAGTACATTGGCTTGTTTAAATTTAGGTAAGTTAACATTGACATTCTATACATTTCTTCGATATATATTAATTGTGCTTAATAAAAAAATGACTTTGTTATTGTAGAAACATTGACATGGGAGCAACTAACAGTCGATTCCCTGGAAGAAAATGTTCCCCGTGCTCGTGCTGGTCACTGTGCAGTTGGAGTGCATAGTAGACTGTACGTATGGTCTGGTCGAGATGGATATCGCAAAGCTTGGAACAATCAGGTTAGGGTTAGTTCATATAATTAGTTTTCAATAAAAGAATAGTTTTATTTATAATACAGTATAACTTTTTTTCAGGTTTGCTGCAAAGACTTATGGTACCTCGAAGTCAGTAAACCACCCGCGCCATCCCGAGTGCAATTAGTAAGAGCCTCTACGCAAACGTTGGAAGTCAGTTGGACAGCAACACCATCCGCGCAGTATTACATATTGCAAATTCAGAAATATGACATGCCTCCAGCAACAACTGGCACATTTCCTACGGTTAGCACGCAAACCAACACTGCACCCACCACTACACCAGCTGTGGTTACACCTGCAACTGTACCCGTTACATCTCCGCCCATTACCACCGTTGCTGCTCTTCCAACGACTCCAACTTCTGCCAGACCAACTATAGCTCAGACTCCCGTACGAATACAGTCTACCGTGCAGAGCCCAATTCAGAAACCAGTATCATCGCAAGCCGTAACAAAACCAACGAGTCCAATGACGCCAAGAGTAACTGGAAATTTGATCAGAATTCGTTCTCCCATTGTCACTTCGGCACCAGTAACTACCGAACAGCCTGCACCCCCTAATACCACAGTAGCTAGTCAAACGCCAGCTGCTATGTCAGGAATTGCTGCACTGGCTGCAGCGGCTGCTGCTACTCCAAAAATAAGTATGAATAACGTACCAATCCTTCCACAAGCTGCCGCTAATACGATTAGAATGAAGAATGTTCAACCAGGCCAGCAAATACGTTTCGCTGCACCTGGAGCAACAGTGCTGAGAACCGCTTCTCCACAACAAAGTAAACAAATAATCCTTCAAAAACCTGGTCAAAATATATCTGGTCAGCCTCAAATTGTACACCTTCTTAAAACTGGTCAGGGAATGGTAGCAACTGTGCCTAAGGTCAGTCTCATTCCTGGCAAAACTGTTCAAGCAACAGGTGCGAAACCTCTTAACCAGGGACCGACGATATTACGGTTAGTAAATCCTAATACTGTAGCAGGATCTAAAATTCTCACTACCATGAAAACATCTAGTATCGTTGCTATGAGCAAAGGACAAAACATCAGCGGTAAGCAAACAATAATGATTACAAAACCTGGAGGCAATGGTGGACTCGTTGGTCGTAATCAGATAATAGTGGTTACAACTGGCTCCGGTTTGAGAGCTGTACAAGCTGTTACCACCTCCCAAGCCGGTACCGGGCAAACGGGTAATATCACTACACCCGTAAATG